CTGTGATTGGTCACAGCTTGTCACATGGTACAAGGCTGTTGTGAACAGCCCTGTTGTGAATAGCCCTGTACCATGTGACCTCTGTGATCATTCACAGATTTCACACGTACTAAGCAATGATGTCAGAAGTGAAATCTTGCTTACTACTCTGCATGTGATCACTGATTGGCCAATCAGTGATCACATGATCGGGACCTCGCACAGAGGGTCCCGTCCGACGATCGGTACACTGCCTTCTCGCTGCCTGTCAAATGCTCTCTGAAGAGCGATCCGAGCTTGCACAAAGCACCACAAGTATAAAGGAGGCCTTACTGAGCCGGTATAAGGAGAGGAGCAGCGCTGATCTGAGTGTAGCACAATGGATTTATCACTGACCAGCAACAAATTGCACAAAATAAGAGATAAACAGACGCTCATCAAAGAAAGCCACTATCTGCTGTAGGTACCACCGGCCATGGCCGCTTCACGCTGGGAGACACACTGGTAGAAGGATCCTTGGTGGTGCTGGTGGCCTCCAGCACTTCCTGGATGATCCAGAGGCTCGGTGGGCGTCACGCGTGATGTCAGGTATGCAGAAGTGGGCGTGGCACGCGTTCGGAGCATGAGTCCTCCTTCAGGGTATTGGCCTATCTGATAATATGCAACATTGACCCATGTTTACATGTCAAACACTTTTATAGAAAGCTGCTTTTAAGGATTGCATCCATGTATGTGTTGGGAGAAGCTGCAGTATTGAGGTTAGAAGAATATTTTTGGACACTTATGGGGTTTTTGTTTTCACAGTTATTTGCTCAAAAACGCAGAAGAAAGATGCAGGTGGGGGGAAGTAAGCAAACTCCACACAGTCCCAATCTGACAACACTCTTGCAAATAGAAGCCGGCAGCTGTCTGTACAGACACTGGCTGGAGGTAGAAAGCGCTCTCCTCCTCCTCCACTTATGCACACTTCAGTACTTGGCTGTGACAGATTCGTTCTCTCCCCCAACTTCCTCCTTCCAGTGCAACTCCTGTGTTCCTGTGATTGCCACTGCTGGCTTCTGAATACAGGAGCTGCATTGGAAGGAGGAGGAGAGAGAGCGCAGCTTCCCGGCTTTCTACTGCTCTCCTCGCTGCTCCCAGCACTTGGCTGACAGGAGTAGTGATGCTGCTGTCACTACTCCTGTCAGCCACATAGTTAGAATGACTCCACCCGCATCCCTGCAGTATACAACTGTGCCCAGGGCAGCTGCCCCTCTTGCTAACCCCTTGGCTCTGACTCAATCCACTCTAAATCATGAATTTGGTGGAAATGCATGTCAATCCACAAGCAAAACTCGCAAAGGAAAGTCATGTTGCCGCAAGACAATGCATCTGCCTAATGCTACAAAAGAGCACCTTTACACAGACGCATACAGCTAACCAGGTCCCAAAACAATCAGAACCACTAAATAAAGCATCTTTTGACTGATGTCAGAGTCGTGAAAAAGAGAAACACGACAGGAACAGAACACGTGCTCTATTAGGTTTTCATTTATCCTAATAGAAACCCCCATGAGAAGTGGAAAAAGAGTACTTAATTTAGAGTGCAAACTGGTGTTTTTCACTTTTTTTCAATTTATATGAAGTTCTACCGTAGTTCATATTTATTCTTCAAAGTACTCCTTTAAAAAAAGTTATATATAATATATCATAATATTATTTATATATATATGTGTGTGTGTGTGTATAATATATATATCTATGTATGCATGTATGTGTGTGTGTGTGTGTGTGTGTGTGTGTGTGTATATGTATATATATATATGTATATATGTATATATATATATGTGTATATATATATATATAAATATATATATATATATATATAAATAATAAATCTGGAGTGGGTATTTTATTTTCACCAGGGGGCGCCAACGCTCTATCCTCTCGGATCGACCCTGCGAGGATGGAAAAGCACATAAAGGGAATATGGAGTCTAACACTTTAATTTAATTGTTTCCTGGCGGCTCTGACTTGTATTTTCCCTTCCAGGCACAGTGGTCGGGGTCGTTGTATACACAGGCAGAGAGTTGCGAAGTGTCATGAACGCCTCCAATCCACGCAGCAAGGTACTTGATTAGGCTACCCGCCGAAACACTTTAATTTCCTATATCCGTTCTCCCTGGACCCTGCATTCACTATATCCGCTCTCCCCGGACCCCGCATTCACTATATCCGCTCTCCCCGGACCCTGCATTCACTATATCCGCTCTCCCCGGACCCTGCATTCACTATATCCGCTCTCCCCGGACCCTGCATTCACTATATCCGCTGTCCCCGGACCCTGCATTCACTATATCCGGTCTCCCCGGACCCCGCATTCACTATATCCACTCTTTTCGGACCCTGCATTCACTATATCCGCTCCCCCCGGACCCAGCATTCACTGTATCCGCTCTCCCCGGACCCTGCATTCACTATATCCGCTCTCCCCCGGACCCTGCATTCACTATATCCGGTCTCTCCCCGGACCCTGCATTCACTATATCCTGTTTCCCCGGACCCCGCATTCACTATATCCAGTCTCCCACAGTGCACAGAACATGGAAATGCAATTGTTTTTAGTAAATATAAAATGCTAAATACCTTTTCTCATTGGCAGTATAAAGCAGTCTTGTGACTTCTATCAGTGTCTAGCAGAACACTGGGTAATATTGTAAGAGGATAATTAATTTTCCTTTGACTGTCATATGAGGCTACATGACCACTGGCCCTGTGCTGATCACATGCACCTTCCCCCCCCCCCCCCCAAAAAAAACAAAAAACAAAATCTCTAGCAGTACACATCAAACTGAGCATGTGCAGACTTGCCACTGTTGCTCTGTACTATGGCAGATGGATTGGGGACAGTAGAAGGGAAGGATCAGAGAAGACAGGTTCAAACAGCCTTTTTACACAATTCGGAGGCTTAACCCCTTAGATTCCACAGTGAGTATAACTAGCATGCTTCACTGCATACACAGACTGATTGTACTGTTGGGGGTTTAGTAACACTTTAAATAAGAACTGTCAGTAGCCAAGCATACCTCCATCTTGTATAGGAGAATTTCAGTTGGGTAGCCATGGTTCCACTTTCTTATTTTGGTCAGTGTTATGAATAATGTGGACTGTGACGTTTGTTGTTTTTTTTAATCTGTGCTCCGCAGATCGGCCTCTTTGACCTGGAGGTGAACTGTCTGACGAAAATCTTGTTCAGCGCTCTTGTGGTGGTGTCACTGGTCATGGTGGCTCTGCAGCACTTTGCTGGTCGCTGGTACCTGCAGATACTCCCGATTTCTTCTCCTCTTTTCCAATATCATCCCCATCAGGTGAGAAGCAGAGCTAGAGATACAGCAATGACAGGTACTCAAAGCTACAGAAATGGGAATTGCACAAAGAGATTGTAACATGTGTGACCACCTTAAGACCCCGGTCACACTTGGTGGCCGGGGTGTAAAGTAGAACTAAAAGCAAACCTTTTTTTTAATGTATATATATTTTTTTATTTTGAATAGAGTAAGGGATCATTAAAACCCCTGTCAGTTTCTTTTTTTTTTTTTTTGCTATCTCTGTCTCATTGAGGAGATTTCCCTTCACTTCCTTTCCCATACCCAAAACAGGAAGTGAGAGGAAATCCCTCCAAGGTAAGGGAATCCCACTTTGTCACCGGAATTGTTCTGTGTTTTGGAGACAACCCAAAATGAGGGTTTTTCTTTCACTCTTGGTGATAATGGTGAACATGGCAAATGGGGAGATTTCCCTTCACTTCCTTTCCCATGCCCAAAACAGGAAGTGAGAGGAAATCCCTCCAAAGTAAGAGAATCCTACGTTGTCACCGGAATTGTTCTCTGTTTTGGAGACAATGCAAAATTAGGGTTTTTCTTTCACTCTTGGTGATAATGGTGAACATGGCAAATGGGGAGATTTCCCTTCACTTCCTTTCCCATACCCAAAACAGGAAGTGAGAGGAAATCCCTCCAAAGTAAGGAATCCTACATTGTCACCGGAATTGTTCTGTGTTTTGGAGACAACCCAAAATGAGGGTTTTTCTTTCACTCTTGGGGATAATGGTGAACATGGCAAATCTCTCTAAACGGAGGGCACAGACGGCAGTAAAAATCTGAAGGGGTTTTAATCCCTTTCCAATCTATTAAAAAAAACAAAATTATAGTTCTTTTTTAACTGTACACTCTTGAGTATATCTAATGGTTCTCTTCCAACAAACACACATAGGCAGTATATCTTCTATGATTGACATCCAGTGTTGTCAGGGACCATCATTTTTTTTCCCCCACAATAATGGTCAACATGGAGCGTACATGTGTAAAAATAAGAGGGACCAACTTTTAGTTCAGCTTTGTTCAGTTGAGATTTAAAAATTAAAGCTAGCAGCTGATTTTTGCCATCCACAGCTGCTCCATATTTGGGCTGTTCCAGTAATTTTTTTTTTTTTTATTGAGTATTTAATAAGCCATCACGTAGGACTCTGTGACCTTTGTTGCGGAGCTCATTTTGCTTCATATATAGTTGAACTCTTCCAACGAGCATTCTTCGTGGGCTAAACTAGAAGATTGTGCTCCTTGAACTTGTGGATGATTCCTTTGACAATCTTTGTGAAGAACATTCAATAAACTGTGTTCTTTCCTCTATTCCCAAAATGTTGTAGGTTTAAAAAAAAAAACAGGAAAACGTTACGGATTGTTTTATAAACCTATCTTCCATGTACAGGAAATATGTGTTTTCTAACATCAATTTATCTTAAAACACCACAAAAAAAAAATGGCGTTCTGGCAATGGTCTTTCAAGAACATTTGCATTCAAATTATTCTTCAAGCAATGAGTCTGAAATCGCAACCTGTAGCGGAAATCAAATTGCAGGTTTTGAAGCCACAGGGCACCTTATTCGTGCTGATTTCTGGGATTGGCACACGCCGAGCTTTCTGTACAGATGTACATGCCGCTTACTATCCTTCATGTTTTGCAGTTTGCGGGTGAATCTGGACATGGGCAAAATCGTCTACAGCTGGATGATCCGCAGGGACCCCAAGATTCCAGGAACAGTGGTCCGATCCAGCACCATCCCAGAACAGCTCGGACGAATCTCCTATTTACTGACTGACAAAAAACTGGTAGGAGCTGTGAATGGGATTAAGTATTGATCTGTTGTATTAATGCTAAACTAAACACAGCTAATTTATTTATTTCAGGTACTTATATATCGCCGTCAATGTACGCAGCGCTTTACATATATATTGTACATTCACATCAGTCCCTAACCCTCAAGGGGTGTACAATCTAAGGTCCCTCACCCTCCAGGGGTGTACAATCTAAGGTTCCTAACTCACATTCATACATACACATACTAGGGACAATATAGACAGGAGCCGGTTTGCCTACCAGCATGTCTTTAGAGTGTGGGAGGAAAGCAGAGTACCTGGAGGAAACCCACGCAGGCACAGGGAGAACATGCAAACTCCAGGCAGTGCCGTGGATGGGATTCGAACCAACGACCCGAGTACTGCCAATCTCATGTGATTACGAAAAGATCCAGTAGGGGCTATTCTTCACATGTTGATGAAGTCCTTTCCTTTACTTTTACCCGTGGTTTTCCTTCACTTACAAAGCCATCCACAACACTGCCCCAAGCTACATCGCCTACCTCATCCACAGATACCGCCCAAATTGCCCACTCCGCTCCTCCCATGGTATCCTCCTCTCTAGTTCCCTCATCACCTTCTCCCACGCTCGCCTCCAGGACTTCTCCAGAGCCTCTCCCATCCTCTGGAACTCCCTACCACAGCATGTCCGGTCAGCCCCCACCCTGTATGCCTTTAGGCGATCTTTGAAAACGCACTTCTTCAGGGAAGCCTACCCCACCTCCACCTAAGAAGAACTGTACTTGAATCGCCTCCACCAGATTATCCCCTGCAGCTATCACCTTTTGTATCATCTACCCCTTCCTTTAGATTGTAAGCTCCACGAGCCGGGCCCTCCTATTCCTTCTGTACTGAAAGTATTGTACTTGTACTGTCTCCCTTATATTGTAAAGCGTTGCGCAAACTGTTGGCGCTCTATAAATCCTGTATAATAATAATAATTTATGTATACATAATAGAAATTTTTTCAGCCGGTCTGATTTCCACCTCTCATTAGGCGTGGGCAAACACACGTGATTTCTGCTTGTCCATTATGGGTTACTTCCTTTTACATCTGCTAACCTTGCAAAAGTGTATGCTTGTGATATCATACCGTGCGTCTTTTAAGAGTTGCTTGTGTCGTATCTTGCAGGAACGCTGACTCAGAATGAGATGGTCTTCAAGCGACTTCACCTGGGTACAGTAGCATATGGGATGGACACCATGGATGAAGTACAGAGCCATATATTCAGTGTATACACACAGGTATGTACAATGAAATGTCCCTTCAGCTAATGGAACAGCTCTGCAGTTCTACAATAAAAAATTAAAAAAAAAGGCAGCTAAAGCCAACTCCTAAATAACTGAACGACAGCCTACAGCTGATAGAAAATGGGACTTGTCAGGTGCAGGCGTGGACAGTCTCCGAGCGACTCATAGTAGATACATAATGGAAGACTCGTCACTTTCGGTATGTGTATAAAATCACCTCTTTTATTAAAATCATTCCTTTTAGGAATGTTGTATGGCCCTTGACTTGTACTCCCTAGCCTCTTCACACCCGCCAGTAAATAATAAATAAGATAAAGTGGTTGTAAACCTCAGACATAGAATATCAACAAAGCATATCCCTCTATATAGTGTGTGCTTGTCTCAATCCAGAGCACTAAGTGTCATTCCTGTCTGCTGCCTCCTTCCTCTGCTATCAGCATGAGTCACTTCTGACAACTTTTCCTGACACCATGAGAAAAATGGTGGCACAGGGAGGGACCTATAGCAGATTGACAGCTTCAGGTCTGTTCCTGTGAAGGGAGGTGTATCCCTTCTCTCCAATCAGCTCTCCTCACTGATGTAACTTTAGCTTCCCACCCCCTTGCTTTTTAGAGCTGAGATATCCTGTGTAAATTCTGCACTTTTAGTGGATGTAGGGGAAAGACTGCTGTAGATAAACAGATGCAACTTGTGTAGGAAGATGTTTCATCAGTCGCTTGAGGGTGTACGACCACTTTAAAAATGAAAAAAAAATAAATAATAATAAATAATAAAAAAAAAATTATATATATCCCTTTATACAAAGAGCAAAGAAGGATTGGATGTCCTTTCAGGTTTTTACTGTTGTCTGTGATCCCAATGAGCAGATTTCTTTGACTTACTGTGTGGTCACTGGTACAAGGAAAATCTCCCTGAAGCAATAGAGGATCTAGTACTTCTAGCCAAGACTTTAAAAGTGTCTGTCTGAGTTGAGTTTCACCCCTGGTACACAACACGTTCTTGCGGGCCGCGTTTTGCACGAGAGCCCATTCATTTGAATGAACTCCCGTGCCCCGGGACACGCAGGGAAGAAGTCCCTGCAGTTCTTTGGAAACCGTAGCCCGCAGGGGTACCTCGGTTCCCAGTACAGCTGTGATTTCCAGTGCGGGCGGCGTGCCTTAAGAATTAATGGCACCCGCCCATGGGTCCGCATTCTACTGTGTGGGTGGTGTGGCTGCACGGATTTTTGTTCGGACCGACAGCGGCACCACCCGCACAGATGTGAACCAAGCCTTAGTGTAAGGGGGCACTGCAGATTTTAACTGTAGTTGGTGCATTAAATAAATAATTTCTTTTAGGTGTTTATATAGCACCAACAAAGTACATATTGTACATTGGTATCAGTCTCCGCCCTCATAAAACGTACAATCTAAGGTCCGTATCTCACAGACTGTACACACATGCACACAACATAACAGCATGTCTTTGGAGTGTGGGTTGAAAATTGGAGTACCTGGAGGAAACCAATGCAAACTCCATGCTAATACTGTGCTGGCCAGGATTCACACCGGGGACCCTAGGAAGAAGTGCAAACCACTAGCCACTGGGCTATATTTTTTTTTTTTTTTTTTTTTATGCTTTTAGTAATCTCTTTTTGTGCTTTGTTGTGGGAAGACCAGTTTCAGGCATTAAACTGTACAGAAGTACATTTTCATTGCTGGTTTGCACTTATCACTAACGCGCACAGTAGCTGCATGCAGAAACGATGCACGATGTGTGCTTGCAGACTTGATTATCTGCTAGTCTCCTATGACACCAGGGGAGCCCTAGATACTCCCCCCCCCACCTTGTTCTTTCTTGAACTGGTGCTGACTAATGTGGCCCATGCAGGGGTTGTACCCGGAGGGTGGAGCAGTGACTTGCACCTACAAGGCTGTACCTTTGACACACCACCAGCGCTCTGGACCTCCCAGTTCTGTTTTGGCCTTTTTTTTTTACAATTTAATTAAGCGGCTGATTTTGGCTGCATATAGCAATAAGTGTTTCACTTGACTGTAGTTCTGATTCATTGCCTCAATTATTATTTCCATTCTGAGACCTTTTGACCTGGAAGTGAAACTCTTTTCTGCCTGTGACACCAGAGGTTAACAGAGCAGGAAATGCCACCCCCGGTGTCCGCTGGGTGACCAGCCTAATTAAGTAATTGTCTAATTACACCAGGAGTTTTGCAGGCAGAAAAAAAAAAAAAAAAAACTAAAAATAGCTGCGCGATATTTCATGGAAATGTGCAGCGTAGGGGCATCTGGTTTGTGTTTCCATTAATCATATCCATAAAGGGCAATCCATTCCCGGCCGCAGGGTCTCCTACTCTTTGTTCCCGAAATGTGTTTCTAATGGAAGGTATAACCTGACAAGTTTATTGCGTGGATCTGATAAAGCTTCTGTTACTCACAGAAGATTCACTTATTACACAGATGTATCATGTATACAAATAGAAATGAGGGAATGTCCAGCCATTTATACAATATTTATAGTGTCACAAAATACAGAATCTATGGAGGTGACCCACACAGACTAACTGCACCTATTTTTGTATTACATCCCTGCAGCCCTCACAGGATCCACCAGCCCAGAAAGGTGGGACCACCAAAGTGCGGAAGACGATGAGCAGTCGCGTGTACGAGGCCGTAAAAGCCATCGCGCTTTGTCATAATGTCACGCCATCTTACGAATCCAATGGGGTGACAGACCAGGCCGAGGCTGAGCGCCAGTTTGAGGATTCCTGTCGGGTATACCAGGCATCCAGCCCCGATGAGGTATTTCCATTTATGTTACTCCTGTTACTCATTTTTCTAACATCTACATTAGGGGTGTAAAACTGGCAGCCCTCCAGCTGTGGTGAAAAACTACAAGTCCCATCATGCCTCTGCCTTTGGGAGTCATGCTTGTAACTGTCAGTCTTGCAATGCCTCATTGGACTTGTAGTTTGGCAACAGCTGGAGGGCCGCCAGTTTGACACCCGTGATCTACATGAACCCATTTTTTTCTGGTTCATTGAAGGGCACAGGAATTCTTAGACTGTCGGGTTATACTGCTGTCTACAGGCGAAATGAAAGCTGAACTCCAGGAATTCAATCACTTGGTAAAATGTGCAGGCATACCATGAGTCAAGTCCAATGAGGTGCATGCCACCTCATGGACTTATCTTTTAAATTAAAATCTGACAGTTTTATGGAACTCTGGGAAAATGGCTATTGCTACACTCCCAGGCTCTGAGAGGAGAGACCCTGCCTTCCCACAAAAGCATCTCTGCCCACTCCTCCCCTCTGCTGGCCATTCACAGAAGCCTTTGTATTTTGTGAATAAGTTCACATAATACAAAGCACTCTGTGATAGAGCGGGAGGAGGGGAGGAGTGGGCACAGCAGCTGCATTCGATTTGCAGCTGATGAAACTTAGACCAGAAGGCCCAGTGTTGTAGCTCCAGATGTGTAGCGATAGCCATTCTCTGGCATGCACCTCGTTGGACTTAAATCATAGCATGCCAGTACAATTTACAATGTGGCGGAACTCCTGGTGTTCATCTTTAAAGCGGTAGAAAACACTGCTTGGACCCTTTCAATAAAGCTTACCTGTAGGTACAAGGAATATCCCCTTAACATACACCGTTTAGGAATTATTCGCAGTCTTTGCAGCCAGTGATGTCACCACACGCTTGCGCTTTGAAGGAAGAGCATACTGATTCCGTCACAGTCAGAACTCTGCACCGCGGCCCTGACTCCCGCGTGCTTGCTCTGGAGTGATGCTATCGGGGCTCGGCCATTCAAATGGCCGGAGCCTGCAAACCCAGAAGGAAGACCTGGTGAAGATGAAAGTCCTGTCAGCGGTGACAATGCACCGCTGGAGGTCTTTTTTAGGTAAGTCTTTCATAATGTGCTAGTATGGTGAAATATATTGTTTTGTGGGAAAAAAAAATGTTTCATATATTGTATATTTTTCACCCTCCTTGAAAACAGACAAAAAAAATTTTACAGCTTGACTGACTGTTTCCTGTGCAACCCAGTCTCAAGAAAAAGCAATAGAGCGTAGCTCTTGCATAGATTTTAAAAATGATCAAATCAGCAGATTGACACGTGTGTGTCAGTCTCTTTACATACCATCTCCTAGATTGTAAACTCCCAGGATCAGGGCCCTCCTAACCCTCTTGTATTGTTGCTGTATTGTCTCCCGTTATATTTTAAAGCGCTGAGCAAACTGTTGGCGCCATATAAATCCTGTATAATAATAATAATACCAGCACCTTGTTTGGAGATTTAAATCTAGCGATCCCATTTTCCCTTCAATTTCTCTTCCACCTGGAACCGATCTGTTATTTCATCCCCTGTCCTTGTCTGTTGGAATTGTCCGCCCAGCCCAATCTGTCTGTCAGACCTTCGTGTGAAAGCAGCACTACAGGGTTGTTCTTTAGTAATCTAATATTAACATAACCAGGAAGGAGAGATTCAGAATTCAATAAAAAAAAAAAAAATGTTTATTCAGTCTCTTCATACCTTGGCTTTTCCCAGCAGCTGGCATAAAATTCATTTCCTGTAACAGAAGGCAAGATTTCCTAAACTTGTTTCCTCTGCTGCTCGCTCCCTCTCAGAAGCCCTGTCTTGTGGAGGGATCGATTTCAGACCCCCGGGCAGAGCTGTCCTTCGCTACAGTAAATGGATACAATCCGATCGGAGATAAGGCGACTCCTAGGTAAACAGCGACCTGCAGGCTGCCGGATCCCACCTCTTCTTGAGGAATGGCATTCAGGCTGCTATAGTCAGGCCTCTACTGTTCTTATGGCAATAGAGATCATGCCAAGCCATGCATACGACGAAGGCACACAATTATTTCTGCTTCCCGGCTATGAGTTTTAGTATCATGTCCAGGGGCGGACTGACAACTCATGGGGCCCCCGGGCAATAGGGGATCATGGGGCCCCTGTGTCCTTGCCCAAACTCAAAAAACCCTATGAAAAAGGTACCAGGGGCATCTCATGGGGCCCCCTACTGACCCCAGGTCCTCGGGCAGTGCCCGAGTTTCCAAATGGTCAGTCCGCCCCTGATCATGTCACACTCCCTAGAGTAGTTTTTTAAACAAAGTACAATAAAGTACATTGTTAGTTGGAAGCTGTATATCATGCTCGCCTCCAGGACTTCTTCTGAGCTTCTCCCATCCTATGGAATTCTCTACCCCAATCTGTCCAGCTGTCTCCTAATCTACCTTTAGACGATCCCTGAAAACCTTTCTCTTTAAAGAAGTCTATCCTGCTTCTAACTAGTAAACCGACATTTATTTCCTCCATCAGCTCACCCCCCCCCCCCCCCACAGCTATTACCTTCTGTATCACTCAACCCTTCCTCTTAGATTGTAAGCTCTCAGGATCAGGGCCCTCTGTTTCCTCTCGTACCAAATTGTATTGTAACTGTAATGTCTGCCTTCATTTTGTAAAGCGCTGAGCAAACTGTTTGGCGCCATATAAATCCTGTATAATAATAAGAGGTGTGAGAATTTAATTCCTGGAATGGACCGTAAAAAGAAAAAAAAAAAAGTTTGCTTACATATATTCTGGCGGCTGTTGTCACCTCAAAGTAGTCCCCTTGAGAAACGATGCACTTTTCTAGACACCTTTGCCGCTGCTGGAAACATTCCTGGAATTCGCTTTGTGGAACGCTGCGCAGTATCATTCGTGAGAAGACTTCGGAGGGAGAAGTGCTTCTTTTTCTCCTCTTTATTGGGATCGTTTGAGAGGCTGTCTGGTGCACTTTAACGTGGGAGGAGGATACCACCGTTGTTGCTGACGGTTCCTGGATTATTGCATAAGGCCCCCATGGGATTTTGATCTTTGGTGTTGAGCGCCTTTGAAGTGTGTTGGCCCTTAGGAGGTGAAGGAGGCATTTTAGCCAGAGATGGATTATTTTATCAAGTTGATCACCTTTGCCATCACCCTTTAAGTTTTATATGGGAATTCATTATTGGACTTTTACATGCAGTTGTTTTTCGTGGACTTTACAAAATTTGTTGTGCTTATTCACATTTTTTTGTGGTATCCCTGCGCGCTCCCAGCACACATGTCCGGTACTCACAGAAAGGTCCCAATCTCCTCTTTCGATTGGGACCTTTCCCGATCATGTGGCAGTCACATGACCCTAAACCCCGCCCCGCCTCCCGACTTCTGAAACCCTTAAAGGGTCGGGAGGCACCTGAGCAAATGGATTAAACTTGCCTGCAACAAACCTAGATCTAAACAAAATTGAGGCAGATTTATTAGACCGTTTGGTCTTTTTCTGCTGCCTCTCTTTTAAGTGTTCATTTCAAACACATTCAGTTCTGATAATCAGCTGAAACATTTAAAAGTTCATCAAATACAGGTTACAATTTGTCAGTTGGGCCTTTAATTATAAGATACATTCCAATGGTGAGACCATTTGTTTTGACTCTTAATTCATAGGCAATTACTTTCAGGAAATGCAGGATTGCTGGGGGCTGGAATAAAGAGCCCTCCCTAACAGGAGAGGGTTAAAATGTTTGTGTAAGTCAGGAGCGCCCTCTAGCGTCTTCTTTTTTTTTTTTTTTTTTTTTTCTGTGCTATGAAGACAAGTTTTGCTCTCCAGAGGTTAAATGTCATCTGTCATTAAGTCGTCTTCTGGTGACCAGCTGAATAGAAGAGGAAAATAGAATCTTGGAAACTGACCACACCACAGATCTTAAAGAAATGTGGTTTTAATCTCTTCCAGTCTTTGAAATAAGGCTAATGATTAATCAGTCGTTTAAAGGGAGGGCTGTGCGATTTGAGCTGACGGGGCAAGAAAAAAAAAAAGAGAGAGGGGGTATTAAAAATTAGGTGAGAAATTTATTGAGCCAAGAGGGGTGTTTCCTGGCTTGCCGTGATTGTATTTACGTGAAACATGTGGCATTAATCGAGCCTCTTCATCCTGTATAAACATCTGCATTGTTTTCAGGCTCAGGAAGGAAGCAGAGACATGTAAACTGTTGTACGATTAAACCGGCTCCTTCTCATTGAAAAGGATTAATCTGACAGGACATTAAATCAAGATGACTGATTGGGCCTCGTTATTACAATAAATCCCCCAGACACTTCAGAGGCTTGTAAGGAAAAATAAGAGGATTATGGAAAGTTATTAAACATGGATGCCCATATCCCAGACAGATATAGAGAAAGACAAACGCTTGATGTTTGTTATGTTCATTTGCGCAGTGTCAACAGATTTCACAGCACTTAAAGGGGAACGCCGCCCGTGTGATTGACATACATTGGTGCCCTGCCAGGAGAGTGAAGCCGTTCTTTCCTGTTGAAGCTTTGCAGTTTTCTGGGTCAGCTGCTGCTCATTGATCTGCGGACCTTCCAACTTCTAGTGCCTAAATCTTAAAATATCTAGTGTGCAGCGACTATGGAATATATAAAAAAGGGCATCAGTCACTGATGACATTTAAAGTAGAACTCCAGTCAAAACCATTTTTTTTTTTCTTTTCGCTCGGAATATAGTGTGGAAAGGTTCTAACGTTTTGGTGGTTTTTGCTGTTTGTGTTTCCTGTTGTGTCACCCGTAAGAGGAGCCGCTTACCACCTGTTTTTTAGGAGAAAGCTGTACTAAGAAAATACAGAAGGTGTCATCACTGATCTTTCCTGAAAATGCCAACATCCTGGCTGTCAGGACTTAAACGTGGTTCTAAAGGATGCTGTTTTTTTATACCTTAAAGCATTCTCTGCATTAAGATAAAAAAAACTATGTGTGCTAGCCCCCCTCCCTCCCTCCCCACCCTCCAGACCCCCCTTCCCCCGCAACCTCCTTATACTTACCTGAACTTGATCCGTGAGTGCAGACGTTCTCTCTCCCTCCCCATTGGTTCATGGACAGCAGTGGGAACCAGTCACAGCCAGTGGGGAGGGCGGGGTTGAGCTGTGTCTATGGAAACACACAGGCGGCTCTGGAGTGAGCCCATACAAGTACCCCTATAGCAAGCAGCTTGCTATGGTGGGCCAAGAGGAGGGATCGGGGGCGGGGCTGAGCCCATCACTTTAAAGTAGAACTAAAAGTAAAACCTTTGGAGAGTGTGAAGCTCAGTAGGATTTTGGGTGGAGTCCCTCCGTTGGCACACAGTATCCCTGCATCCACATTGCTTGTGTTGATGAGGGGATCTGTCAGTTTTTTGCAAAAAAAAAAACAAATAACTGTGTATATACCCTGCTTTAGGAAGGTTTCAACCTCTTGTCAAGTTCCACTGGGAAGATTTCTTTTCACTTCCTCTCCATTTCCCTTCACTTCCTATCTCATAGCCAAAAAGGGAAGCGAGAGGGAATTGGTTGTCACCAGAACTTTTTCCCACCTGTGTCCCATTGGGGAGATGTACCTTCACTTCCTGCCCCAAAGCCACAACCAGGAGTGAGGAGAAATTTCTTCAAGGGAATACCTTAGGCCACCGGAACTAGTGTCTCCATTGGAAGATTTCTTCTCTATTCCTGTTCTGGTGACAACCCAAAATTTGAGATTTTCTTTTGCTCTCAGTGATAAAGGTAACCCGAACTAATAGAGAGAGTGGATCTGTCTAATGTGGATACACGCAGCAAAATAAAACCTGACGGGTTATAATTCCTCTCTGCTCCTTTATTTCTATTTACTGTGTCACTGCACTGACTGTGCAAATCCAGGGTTGTGACTTTTTTTTTTGCATGCTCATTCCAGATCCGTCATTCAAAATATCTGGATATAGATCAGAGACAGCCAGGCAAACTAGCATTTTCAGAAAGGGGTCAGAAATGAAAGTCTGCACATTCTCTCTAATAAATACCTATAAAAAAAAAAAAAAAGGACCCAAATCAAACACAGAAAATATTTTTTCTTAGCCAGTGATTTCTTAAATATCATAAGCAATCCCTTACAAACAATCCAGTATTGTTGCCTGTTATGTCCCATAATAAGGATGTATTTCATAGCCTGTATACCTTCGCTGACCCCTGCAGTGACCTTTGACCTCTCCTGCACCTAGGTGGCCCTGGTACAATGGACAGAAAGTGTGGGCCTGACACTGGTGGGAAGAGACCAATCCTCCACGCAGCTGAGGACACCAGGTGGCCAGATCATGAATTTCACCATCCTTCAGATATTCCCTTTCACCTATGAAAGCAAGAGGATGGGGATCATTGTCCGGGTAAGTGATTTTATTTGGTCAAAGCTCTTCACGTGCGGGGAACCAGACAGATTTCTGTAGTATGTGTTTGTTTACAGAACAAAATCTGCTTAGAATACCAAAATTATTTTCATTCCATTTTTTGGATATGTAAAGCATTGATTTGGAAAGTTGTTTTAATAAATTATTGTATTTTTATTATGAGTAGAAATTCCATACTGCATAATTGTGTTTTTTTTAATACATAACACTGTAGCACAGCGGTGTCAAATTCCACTTCATCGCAGGTCACATCAGCATTATGGTGGCCCTCAAAGGGCTGATGTGTAACCATTGCAGCGCTATGAACAGAAGGTGCAGACTGGCACAGAGCGCTATGTATAGGATGCAGATTTTAGGGGTGAGCTGTGTACAAAGTGCAGGGTTTTAGGGATCCATTACACACAGAGTGCAGAGTTCAGGGGTACGTGGTGTACAGAGTGCAGAGTTCAGGGGTACGTGGTGTACAGAGTGCAGAGTTCAGGGGTACATGGTGTACAGAGTGCAGAGTTCAGGGGTACGTGGTGTACAGAGTGCAGAGTTCAGGGGTACGTGGTGTACAGAGTGCAGAGTTCAGGGGTACGTGGTGTACAGAGTGCAGAGTTCAGGGGTACGTGGTGTACAGAGTGCAGGGGTAAGTGGTGTACAGAGTGCAGAGTTCAGGGGTACGTGGTGTACAGAGTGCAGAGTTCAGGGGTACGTGGTGTACAGAGTGCAGAGTTCAGGGGTACGTGGTGTACAGAGTGCAGGGGTAAGTGGTGTACAGAGTGCAGAGTTCAGGGGTACGTGGTGTACAGAGTGCAGAGTTCAGGGGTACGTGGTGTACATAGTGCAGAGTTCAGGAGTACATTGAGTAACAGAATTCAGAGTTCAGGAGTACGTTGGGTAATAGAGAATGCAGAGTTCAGGAGTACGTGGCGTGCAGAATTCAGGAAAGCCTTGTGTATAGAGTTCAGGAGTATGTGGCGTACAGAGTTCAGAGTGCATTACGTACAGAATGCAGAGTTCTGGAGTGCGCTACGTACAGGGTTCGGGAGTGCGCTACGTACAGGGTTCGGGAGTGCGCTACGTACAGGGTTCGGGAGTGCGCTACGTACAGGGTTCGGGAGTGCGCTACGTACAGGGTTCGGGAGTGCGCTACGTACAGGGTTCGGGAGTGCGCTACGTACAGGGTTCGGGAGTGCGTTACGTACAGGGTTCGGGAGTGCGCTACGAACAGGGTTCGGGAGTGCGCTACGAACAGGGTTCGGGAGTGCGCTACGAACAGGGTTCGGGAGTGCGCTACGTACAGGGTTCGGGAGTGCGCTACGTACAGGGTTCGGGAGTGCGCTACGTACAGGGTTCGGGAGTGCGCTACGTACAGGGTTCGGGAGTGCGCTACGTACAGGGTTCGGGAGTGCGCTACGTACAGGGTTCGGGAGTGCGCTACGTACAGGGTTCGGGAGTGCGCTACGTACAGGGTTCGGGAGTGCGCTACGTACAGGGTTCGGGAGTGCGCTACGTACAGGGTTCGGGAGTGCGCTACGTACAGGGTTCGGGAGTGCGCTACGTACAGGGTTCGGGAGTGCGCTACGAACAGGGTTTGGGAGTGCGCTGCATAGAGAGTGCAGAGTTTAGGAGTGCGGTGCATGCAGAGTTTAGGAGTGCGGTGCATGCAGAGTTTAGGAGTGCGGTGCATGCAGAGTTTAGGAGTGCGGTGCATGCAGAGTTTAGGAGTGCGGTGCATGCAGAGTTTAGGAGTGCGGTGCATGCAGAGTTTAGGAGTGCGGTGCATGGAGAGTGCAGAGTTTAGGAGTGCGGTGCATGGAGAGTGCAGAGTTTAGGAGTGCGGTGCATGGAGAGTGCAGAGTTTAGGAGTGCGGTGCATGGAGAGTGCAGAGTTTAGGAGTGCGGTGCATGGAGAGTGCAGAGTTTAGGAGTGCGGTGCATGGAGAGTGCAGAGTTTAGGAGTGCGGTGCATGGAGAGTGCAGAGTTTAGGAGTGCGGTGCATGGAGAGTGCAGAGTTTAGGAGTGTGCTATGCACACAGTGCAGAGTTTAGGAGTGTGCTATATACAGAGTTTAGGAGTGCGGTGCATACAGAGGGCAGAGTTTAGGAGTGCGGTGCATACAGAGGGCAGAGTTTAGGAGTGCGGTGCATACAGAGGGCAGAGTTTAGGAGTGCGGTGCATACAGAGGGCAGAGTTTAGGAGTGCGGTGCATACAGAGTGCAGAGTTTAGGAGTGCGGTGCATACAGAGTGCAGAGTTTAGGAGTGCGGTGCATACAGAGTGCAGAGTTTAGGAGTGCGGTGCATACAGAGTGCAGAGTTTAGGAGTGCGGTGCATACAGAGTGCAGAGTTTAGGAGTGCGGTGCATACAGAGTGCAGAGTTTAGGAGTGCGGTGCATACAGAGTGCAGAGTTTAGGAGTGCGGTGCATACAGAGTGCAGAGTTTAGGAGTGCGGTGCATACAGAGTGCAGAGTTTAGGAGTGCGGTGCATACAGAGTGCAGAGTTTAGGAGTGCGGTGCATACAGAGTGCAGAGTTTAGGAGTGCGGTGCATACAGAGTGCAGAGTTTAGGAGTGCGGTGCATGGAGAGTTTAGGAGTGCGGTGCATGGAGAGTTTAGGAGTGCGGTGCATGGAGAGTTTAGGAGTGCGGTGCATGGAGAGTTTAGGAGTGCGGTGCATGGAGAGTTTAGGAGTGCGGTGCATGGAGAGTTTAGGAGTGCGGTGCATGGAGAGTTTAGGAGTGCGGTGCATGGAGAGTTTAGGAGTGCGGTGCATGGAGAGTTTAGGAGTGCGGTGCATGGAGAGTGTAGAGTTTAGGAGTGCGGTGCATGGAGAGTGCAGAGTTTAGGAGTGCGGTACATACAGAGTGCAGAGTTTAGGAGTGCGGTGCATACAGAGTGCAGAGTTTAGGAGTGCGGTGCATACAGAGTGCAGAGTTTAGGAGTGCGGTGCATACAGAGTGCAGAGTTTAGGAGTGCGGTGCATACAGAGTGGAGAGTTTAGGAGTGCGGTGCATACAGAGTGCAGAGTTTAGGAGTGCGGTGCATACAGAGTGGAGAGTTTAGGAGTGCGGTGCATACAGAGTGGAGAGTTTAGGAGTGCGGTGCATACAGAGTGGAGAGTTTAGGAGTGCGGTGCATACAGAGTGGAGAGTTTAGGAGTGCGGTGCATACAGAGTGACGAGTTTTGGAATGTGCTACATACAATGTGCACAGTTTAGAAGTGCACTATGCATAGAGTGCAGGGTTCACCTCTCTTTCACAGGCTGTCCACATCTCTCTTCCACTCCTACTTCTCGACTGTGACCTGTGCACCTCTCTTCCCATCTCCCACCTCAGCACACATCTCCCTCCACAGCCCTCTCTGGCCCGGCTCTAGTACCTCCTGGCAGTGAAGGCTTTGCTGCCTCTCTCACTTGTAGGGAGATCATTGGTTGTCATCTGTTTTCGCCATAAGTGCGTATAGGGCAGGCAGGAATCTGTGAGAGCCAAGAGCCGCTGAAAGGAATGCTGTTCTTGTAGACTCAGAATGCTTCAATGCTTACAAGTGAGAGTGGAAAGGGGGAGTGAATGGTGAGAGCTGGAGGTGGTGGAATGGAGTTCTGCCATATTCAGGCTGAAAATAAGCCCCGAGGGCGAGGCCATATGAAATGGCCTGGTGGGCTGGATTCTGCCTGCGGGCCTTATATTTGGCACATGTGCTATAGCAAATATTTTTACCTGTTGCTGCCTGCATAACACAAATGTGCAGCGGCAAAAAGGTGGGTGTTAATGCCCATGTGCTGCTCATATGCATTGATTGGTGGCCAATGTGTCTATACTGAGAGTGTGCACGGAGGCCAAACTGCCAGGACCAGCTCTCAGTTCCCACTAATGATTGGTAGCTGCTGGGACTGCCTCCCAATCATGTGAAACCACTGTAACAGCATAGCCATTTGTAATGAAAGGATGAAGCAAATGGCGACCCCGGAGGCCCAATCACTGCAGGGAGTGGGAAGTGGTTGCTTACCACTCCTAATGTTGACAATATCTTGAACATGTTTTTTTAGGAGGAGGAGTGTTATTTTTATAGAATAGGTGTACTTTTACACGGTTTGATGTTGTGATACTTTGTAAACATGAGAAAGTTCTAACCTGCCCCTGAACCCCAGAGGAGGAAGTGACTCACGCAAGGGTCTGCTGACATGCTATTTATGTTGGAGCAGCTCGTGAGGCTTTCTGGGGCAGCAATAATGCTCAGGAAACTGGCCCTGCGCGCCATTTCCTACATACATGTCATTAAACACCTTCAATAATAACAGCTATTTAACGGCTGATTACACCAGCAGTAACCTTCTCGCCTCTTATCTGGAAACAATGGCTTGTGTGGTGCGTTGTACATAAACACTGCATCCCTAATTAAAATACCATATATGCCATCTCTACTCTGGTATGTAGAGGACGGCACCTCTGGGGCTCAATTGGAAAATTTTGGAATGTCCTTGACGACCATTTAGATCATTCTACAATAGGTGATGGGCGTTGTAGAAGTGTGGGGCCTATATTCCATCAATTTATTTATTTCAGGTACTTATATAGCGCCGTCGATTTACGCAGAACTTTACATATATATTGTACATTCACATCAGTCCCTAACCCTCAAGGGGCGTACAATCTAAGGTCCCTAACCCTCAAGGGGTGTACAATCTAAGGTCCCTAACCCTCAAGGGGCGTACAATCTAAGGTCCCTAACCCTCAAGGGGTGTACAATCTAAGGTCCCTAACCCTCAAGGGGCGTACAATCTAAGGTCCCTAACCCTCAAGGGGGTACAATCTAAGGTCCCTAACCCTCAAGGGGCGTACAATCTAAGGTCCCTAACCCTCAAGGGGTGTACAATCTAAGGTCCCTAACTCACATTCATACATACACATACTAGGGACAATTCAGACAGGAACCAATTCACCTACCAGCAGGGGCGAACTGACAACTCATGGGGCCCCCCCGGGCAATTGGGGATCATGGGGCCCCTGTGTCCTTGCCCAAACTCAAAAAACCCTATGAAAAAGGTACCAGTGGCATCTCATGGTGCCCCCTACTGACACCGGTCCCTAGGGCAGTGCCCGAGTTTCCAAATGGTCAGTCCGCCCCTGCCTAGCAGCATGTCTTTGGAGTGTGGGAGGAAACGGGAGTACCCAGAGGAAACAGGGTGAACATGCAAACTCCAGGCAGGTGGTGCCGTGGTTGGGATTCGAACCAATGACCCGAGTACTGCCAGGCGGAAGTGCTAACCATTTAGCCACTGTGCCGCCAAAATGCAGTTTTATTTATTTTTTATTTCAGGTACTTATATAGAGTTGTCAAGTTACACAGCTCTTTACATAGATATTGTACATTCACATCAGTCCCTAACCCTCAAGGGGTGTACAATCTAAGGTCCCTAACCCTCAAGGGACGTACAATCTAAGGTCCCTAACCCTCAAGGGGCGTACAATCTAAGGTCCCTAACCCTCAAGGGGGTACAATCTAAGGTCCCTAACCCTCAAGGGGCGTACAATCTAAGGTCCCTAACCCTTAAGGGGTGTACAATCTAAGGTCCCTAACCCTCAAGGGGGTACAATCTAAGGTCCCTAACCCTCAAGGGGCGTACAATCTAAGGTCCCTAACTTATATTCATACATACAATGCCTAATAGACTGTAATGTCTTCTTGTCTCTAATGAATAATACTTGTTGATATTGGGGGGAGGGTGGGGTGGGGTTAAACCTTTTCAGAAGAGACATAGAGGCTACTTCTATACTTCTAATTCTGAAAATGCTAGTTTCCTGGGTTTCAGGTTTACTCTCTTGGTACCTGGAACAAGCCTTTGACTATAGCAGCCCTCATGGGTCTTTCAAGATTTGCTTTAAAGTGTTGCTAAACCCACAACATTACAATCAGTCTGTATATGCAGTAAAGCACGCTGGTTATACGCACTGTGGAATCTAAGGGGTTAATCTTCCGCATTGTGTAAAAAGGCTGTTTGATCCTGTCTTCTCTGATCCTCCCCTTTTACTGTCCCCAGTTCATCTGCTGACAGAACAGAGCATTGGGGGCCAGCTGTTGTGTATTGCTGGAGAGTTTTTTTTTTTTTTTTTTCTTGGGAGGGTGTATGTGATCAGCACAGGGCCAAGCAGCGCTGTCCAGACAGAGGGTCAGGGGTTATGCAGCCTCATAGGACAATCAGTGGAGAATGGAAATTTCTCCTATAAGCTTTAACCAGTGCTGTGCTGGACACTGATAGACATCACAAGACTGCTATATACGGCTGATGAGAAAAGGTATTTAGCAGTTTATATTGACTGAAATAATTGCATTTGCATGTTCTGTGTACTGTACTATGGGGAACCAGATATAGTGGATGAAGGATTCTGGGTTTAGTAACACTTTAATGTTCTCTTTATCTCAGAAGGATGTTCTTGTTGCCAGGAATTAGGTTCTCGCTATGGATTTTACACCTATACCTGAGCCTTATAAAAACCTGGCAGATCATTGATGATTTTCATTCTTTCAATTTTTCTGCCCAAAGCTGGTCTGGGATCCCCCCCCCAGACCTGTGATTAACAATTGGGAGTGATGTTTATGGTTTTATAATCCTGCTAGCCAGAGGAAGTCACAGAGAGGAAAAAAAAAAGCAGGTTGGGTCAGAGACTGCAGGTAACAACAATGGTGTCCCTGATATGTAACTTTTTTTTTCTCTCCATATGTCTGTCCCTAAAGATGGTGTGTATAATGCCATGTGTACTAAAATTAATTTCTCATATTTAAGCCTCCTTGTGTGCTGTTTTTTTTTTTTTTTTTTTTTCAATCCAGGAAGACTCCACAGGGGAAATCACATTCTACATGAAGGGGGCAGATGTGGTGATGGCAGGAATTGTGCAGTACAATGATTGGCTGGAGGAGGAAGAGGTAAGAGTTGGATCTGTTTAAGAACACATATTTGATTGGTCATGAAAGCTGAAGTCAGGATGTTGCTATTCTGTCAAATGTCTGACTGTACACAGTCAGAAGATGGGAGACCACATGCAGGGTCAGAATTTGGCATATCTTCAAGCACATACATCGATCAGTCATAAGATTATGATGTCCCACCTAATATTGAATAGGTCCTCCTTTTGCTTTCAAACAGCCCTGCATGAACGCAGTAGACCTCTAAAGGTATGCTTTGGTATCTGACACCAAGCCGTTAGTAGCAGATCCTTCAAGTTGCGAGGTGGGTCCTCCATGGATAGGACATGTTTTTTCAGCACATCCCACAGATTCTCAAAGCATTGAGATCTCGAGAATTTGGAAGTTAACACCTTAACCTTGTCGTCATGTTACTCAGACCATTCTTGAACCATTTTTGATGAGTAGAAGGGCACATTATTCTGCTGAAAGAGGCCACTGCCATCAAGGAATACTGGGTCCATGAAGGGGTGGACTTGGTCACCAACGAAGTTTAGGTAGGTGTTACTTGTCAAAGTAACAACCACATGAATGGCCGGACCTAAGGTTTCCCAGCAGAACATTGCCCAAAGCATCGCACTGCCTTCGCCGGCTTGCCTTCTTTCCATACTGCATCCCAGTGCCAACTCTTCTCCAGGTAAGTGATGCACCCGACCATCCACATGGATAGCAGGACCGAAGGTTTCCCAGGAGAACATTGGCCAAGCCATCACACTGCCTCTGCCAGCTTGTCTTCTTCCCATACTGCATCCTGATGCCAACTCTTCTCCAGGTAAGTGATGCACCCGACCATCCACATGAATAGCAGGACTCGAGGTTTCCCAGAAGAACATTGGCCAAAGCATCACACTGCCTTTGCTGGCTTGCATTTTTTCCCATAGTGCATCCCGGTGCCAACACTTCTCTAGGTAAGTGAGGCACCCAACCATCCACATGAATAGCAGGACCCAAGGTTTTCCCAGCAGAACATTGGCCAAAGCATCACACTGCCTTTGCCAGCTTGTCTTCTTCTCATACTGCATCCTGGTTCCATCTCTTCGCTAGGTAAGCGACACAAACACACACGCAGCCATCCACACATGATGTAAAAGAAAATGTGATTCATCAGTTGAGGCCACCTTCTTCCATTGCTCTGTGGTCCAGTTCTGATGCTCACGTGCCAAATGTAGTCACTTTTGGCTGTGGACATGGGTCAGCACGGGCACCCTGATTGGTCTGCGGCTACACAGCCCCATACACAACAAACTACATTGCCCATTTTTTCTGCTTTCAACACATAAACTTCATGGACAACATGTTCACATGCTGCCTTATATATCCCACCCACTTTCAGATGCCATTTTACCAAGATAATCAATGTTCTCCACTTTACCAGTCAGTGATCATAATATTATGATTGGTCGGTGTAAGTGGTTATTTCAACTCCAGCATCCTTCTAGGTGTGCATGCTCCCATCCCTCATCTGTGGAGATGAGCAAGCAAATCTAAAACAATCTCTACTCTTCTTATGAACGACAGAATGTCTGCCTTTCCTTACCATGATTTCTTTACGATGAACTGCACATTTGCCAACCATTGCCTTTTTCTAGGACAAAAGATTACAGAAATGATTATTTTAGGACTGCAAGCTGCTGTCAACGATTCAGCCCGACTTCCATCGCTGAGACCTACAGGCCCACTAGGAGTTCTGAGATCACTGCTAGTTGCTCTTTCTGCATTCCAGCCATTCACAGAACTTCTTGCATTCTCTTCAATAAATGCAAGGTGCTCTGTGATTGGAGAAGGGGAGATCACGACCGCCTTCAATCACAGAGCAACTTGTATTTATTGAAAAAATGCAAGATGTTTTGTGGATGGCGAGTGAGCACTCCAGCAGGAATGGAAGTTTCAGCACCTGAAGCACTTTCAGCTCTGTGTGGGTAAAGTTTTAAACAAGGATGCAACAGGCAGACATGGGAGAGGTTGCATTAAGGGTCATTAATTTATAAAGTGCAAATGTGTCAACTTAGATTTTGGCTGGAGTTCAGCTTTAACCTCTTGCCGTCAGCCTGCTGTTTATAAACGGCAGGGCGGTGGCAGTCCAGGGTCGGGTTGCCGTCCATAAACAGCACCTGCCTTTTCTAGCTGTGCGCGCTCCCTGGGAGTGCGCACCACCGCGATCCGGTGCCCGCTGTGTCCTCCGGACACAGTGAAACACCGATCGTCGGACGGGACCTCTGTACGAGGTCCCGATCATGTGATCACTGATTGGCGAATCAGTGATCACATGCAAAGTAGTAAGCAAGATGTCACTTGTGACATCATTGCTTACTATGTGTGAAATCTGTGAATGATCACAGAGGTCACATGGTACAAGGCTATTCACAACAGCCTTGTACCATGTGACAAGCTGTGACCACTCACAGCTCACTCAGTAATTCTCAATGACTGCAAGAATGCAGACAGAGAGAAAGAGAAATGATTGCTTTTACATCCTATATGAGTGTAAAAGCAATCGGTGTAAAAAAAAAAAAAAAAAATCTTCATCACCCTCCACAAGTAGTACAGTGTCACCATGGTGACAGTGTACTGCTAGGGTGACAGTATGTAAAAAAAAATAAATAAATAAAAAATAATAATATAAAAAAAATAAAATAAAATGTAAAAAAAAAATGTTTAAAAATTATAATTTTTGGTTATAAAACTAATTTGGATTTTTTTTTTTTTACTAAAAAAATAACGGAATACATTTTGGCTAAGATTTATGATGAAATATTATTTATTTGCAAAATTTTATTTAAAAAAACACTTTTTTTCAAAATTTTTTTAACTTTTTCATTTACATAGTAAAAAAAAATAAAAATCCCAGCGGTGAATAAATACCACCAAAATAAAGCTTTATCTGTCTCAAAAAAATGGTAAAAAATTCATATGGGTACAGTATTGCATGACCGCGCAATTGTCATTCAAAGTGTGATAGCGCTGAAAGCTAAAAATTGCCCTGGACAGGAAGGGGGTGAAAGTGTCCGGACAGGAAGTGGTTAAGAACATGACCTATGTATCAGGTACGCTATAAGTACTGTAATGGTTAGCTTCTGACCTGAATCTGTTTTCCTCAGTGCGGCAATATGGCTCGAGAAGGGCTCCGGGTCTTAGTTGTGGCCAAAAAGTCCCTGACGGAGGAGCAATATCAGGATTTCGAGGTAAGATGGCTCAGAGTGCCAGGCTGATGCAAACGCAGACCTTGTCTCTAGAAATTAGGCTTATATTTCTACTAAAAGTTCCGATCTGCTGTCTTTATGTGGAACGTTATTGTGGGCATCAATACAGGTTCAGCACAAGAGATTTTAATGCTTTTAGGTGACCTCTACGCTATGTATGAATGCACATAATTCATAGGAAAACTAAGACAGAGTGTCGGGATGGGTAGAAAAGTTGTAAAAGTGTTTCTAAAGCCAAAAAACTTTCTTTTATTAGTTATGAAAAGCGTAGGGAAGGGAAAACAAACCTGGTAGGTGTCATTGCTATGTCTGTGCTGGAGAGATTCACCCTCTCTGTTTGTTCTGGTGACCGAAGTCACCCAGACTGAAAGTGAAGGAAAATCCAAAATCTGTGTTGTCACTAGAACAGGAAGAGAGGGGAAATCTTCCAATGTGGACACTTGTGCTGACCTCTGTCTCAGATGGGATGTTTTTGGAGACATTTTCTCTCACTTCCTATTGTGTCTATGTGACTAGAAATGAAAGGAAGTCTCCCCAATGGGACGCATATGGTAAGTTTTGATTTTAAAGATACTTTAAGATATCAGGTCATCACCGAACAGGCATCTCCAATTGTGTCTGTATAGATTTTGGACTGGGCGGTGTTCAAAGCCCTAGTTGATGAACCCTGGGGAAGAAAACTCTGTAGGCCACATTGGATAATTCTTGCCAAAAGCTAGTTTTTGTCCCCCAAGAGCTGTCATGTCACTGGGATGTGTACACTGCACAGCACACACAAGGACATCACAATGCCTGCTCAGTCGCAGTGAATCTCTATCTGCAAACCTGACACTGGACTTGTGTCCACAGAGTGGGTGGCTTATAAGTCGCAGCGATTGTTGAAGTCAGAGCGTATTTTAAAAAAGGATTTAAACCTCTTTTAAGGAACCAGATCAGGACCTATTATTTCCAGACTTTGCAATTTGGATTCTAAGGTCAGGGTCTAGAAAACTGGAGGAGTTCATTATGTTTTCAGACTTAAGCAGCAAAATGTAATTTGTTCTTCTAGATTTCTGGCATTTTCTGCTTTGGCACTGGAATGCAAATGATTCTAGTAGTTGGGTACTAAACTCCAAGTTGCTGCTTTTGCCCTGTCACAATAGGTGCAAGCCGAAGATGATGCAATTTTTCTTTTTCCTTCTGCCAATTGCTCATTTCCCCATCAACATAGTCAGTATTGGTGGGGGAATCCCTCCTGCAGCGCTACTGTGTTCTGCCAGCAGGGAGCCTTCCTGGCCGGCAGAACGCAATGATTACTGCTAGCTATAATAGACATCTGCAGTCATCATATGTAGAAAAATCCAATATGCTGTCTTTAGATCGAAAGATGGATTAATTTGGGTACCACCAGCCTGCCCATAGATGGATCGAATCTCGTCCAGTCCCTGCTGAACCTGCCAAGATTCGATCCATCTATAGCCGGCTTTAGTCTCAGATTGGCCAGTTTTATCAGTAATAGATTTATTAACCTGATCTCGGGGTTTCTGTTTTTTTTTGTTCAGGCACGTTATGTTCAGGCGAAACTTAGTGTTCATGACCGCTCACTGAAAGTGGCCACCGTGATAGAGAGCCTGGAAATGGAAATGGAGCTGCTGTGTCTGACTGGAGTAGAAGACCAACTGCAAGCTGATGTCCGCCCTACTCTGGAGACGTTACGGAACGCCGGCATGAAGGTATGCAAATAAAGTGACTGGTCATAGTGCTGTGATAGCCTACATGTTCATGTTGATTACAAATACTCCTGTGATTATTGCACCAAGTCGAACAAACAGTGCTATCATATGGGAAGAAAAGAAGTACAGTAAGTAACATGTCCCTCTATATTAACAAGTAACCATCCAAGCAGCAATAGAGCGAAGGGTAGGCGAGTTTGTGCATCTAGGAAGTGTCAATTAATATATTAAAATAATATAAATGCCATTCACATCTATAGCAGGAAATTGTAAAGTGTGAACTATAATCTTCATGAATATTTTCACGTTTTTAAGATGGAAATCACATCTTCACCAATAACAGATTTCTTTGTTGCCTTCAGGTCTGGATGCTGACTGGGGACAAGTTAGAGACCGCAACCTGCACAGCGAAGAATGCACATTTGGTGACCAGAAACCAGGACATACACATATTCCGATCTGTGAGTATCCCAGGAAAGGACATGGGGTATGGAAATATTATAAAGAACTATTGTAGCCGGAGATTTAACAGATATACTTTGTACTATTGCGTCACAAACAGAGGAGAAGCCCACCTGGAGCTAAATGCATTTAGGAGAAAGCACGACTGCGCCTTGGTTATATCTGGGGACTCCTTAGAGGTATTTATACAGGACGTGTACTACAGAGCTCTTGTAAAGGAGACACTTTATATAGAATGTTCTCTGGTTCTCTTGCCAACTACGTCACTATGGGACACTGTAATGACCCAGGGGGAACCACAGCGGAAGCAGGTATCCAACACAACCGTGTCAGAAATGAATATCTTTTGGGTGGCTTTACTCAGCAATCAAGTGAAGATTCTATAAGCAGAGGACATTTTTTTTAAGCTTTTTGGATTTGTTTTTCTCAGTCACTTTAAAGAGTAAGCTGGGAAATCTGGTGCCTGGTAACAGCACATGTTATGACTGGCCTGTGTATAGAGGTACAATAATGAGTGTCAGAGATTTTCCAACATATCAATTATGAAATGTGAGATCCCTCCCTGATTAGATTTAAATCTAATGGGTTAGTTAGGTACGTTCTCATGTTTGCTGATCAATCTAAAGGAGATTGTAACATATGGCTGTTAGTCTTTATCCTTATTCCATTTGTCCTGCAGGTGTGTCTGAAGTATTATGAATACGAATTTATGGAATTGGCCTGTCAATGCCCTGCTGTCGTGTGTTGTCGCTGTGCTCCCACCCAGAAGGCTCAGATCGTGCGGCTGCTGCAAGAAAGGACAGGGAAGCTGACCTGCGCCGTGGGTATGGAGCTGTTGTCATCTTGTAGTTTTGTCACTCACCCTTGAGTATATTCAGCGTAGACTACAAGCTTTGCTGCGCTCTTGTTTACATCACTGGAATATAAGTATTGTAAAGGAGAACTGTTATGAGAAAAACATGGAGGCCGTTGTTAATGTGCTTCTGAAAAGTTTAGCTGCTCATGCCTCTAGAGCTTTCCATGTCTCCTACCATCTACACAAATGCATTAAATTAGATCTGAATTTCCGATCTTCATTATTTTTCCTGGGTAGTGACTCCCAGTATTGAAACCATAGAGTTAGCATGAAATCCAATTAACAAACATCTTTTAAAAATAATAGCAGAAATGGCAATAGGATTTCTGTACTCCCCATAAAATCCTTTTGTTGGAGTCTAGTAAGGGTTGCAGAAAGTCTTCACCATCTGGTTTTACTGCTACCAGGAGGACAGTAAACAGTGAGTACACATCCTGACTGACATTGAAGTTCAGAGTGGAAAGTGACAGAGGGATAGAAGGTCTGACTGATACCAACACAAAACTGTTGGACTTTAATTTCCAAGAATGGACCAACAACTTCAATGTGAGAGGTGGTGATACAGTTCTTAAATCCGAATAGCAAACTGGTAAAGGAGCTAGGGCAAGATCCTTGGATGCAGGAGGAGGTTTGATAGTCTGTGCGGTAAAACAGGAATTGAGAAGGCGAGGAGCGGAGGGAACACTGTTAATGAGAGTTTAGTCTGTATTCCTGAAAAGGGCATTCTCTGCACCTAAAGGACCTGAAAGAAATAAACCTTCCCCCACTTATAAAAATGTCATAAAGACATTGTTCCTGGAACAACAGATGGTCCAGGCACTTGTTGGATGCAGTGCCTGCACATCAGCACTTTAACCAGAGTGCTCTGCATATTTGTATGGACAATAAAACCATATGAGAGATAAAATGAGATACTTCTAGCAGGCCATCACAGCTGATGGGTTAAAAGCATCTGATGTACACATTCAAATAGGAAATAATCTCACTGCTGTGCTGGAGACATCCTTATAAGGGATTTAGATCATCCTGCGAAAGTTTGACAAATTAGGATCACAGTCAGAATAGGGCAGAAGGTAAGACTCGCTAGCAAAAATAAGATCCTAAAGAGGGATTCTAAGTGTTGGTCAGTGGAATCCTTGAGTGTGAGGACGACCAATATGAACCTAGTGGTTTTCCTTTTAAAATGAATCACTGGCAGATTCACAGTGGGCATAGACCACTGTTTATTAAAAACTCTCCCAAATCCAGAATAAATCCAATAAATAATCCGTATATCTCCAAGATCTGTTAGGGTGCTTCCAATCCCCATAGAGGACAACCATGAAGAGCTGGTGTAATGGGAAGTTCTTTACAGCTGGAAGTGTTCTAAAAGACCTGAGAATGGGAATAGCAGGCTGAGTCATTAGCAGAAGACTGTGATTTCCACAAAGGTAGGCTCATCAGGAAGAAACTGAGATGCCCCAGAGTCAGAAATTGCCACTGCGACCAATTACCTGGCTACCTCTAAGGCTGCAGGCTGATCAGCAATAGATTCTGCACTGGAAGCCATAGAAGAGTGCTTAGAGCTTCTGCGGTCATGACCAATGATGAACTGCGTTAATGTGGCCACAAAAACTGGAATGTAGTGGAGACCCTAGTTAATAAGGCAGGGGACTCGGCCGCAGTTGGCAGGCTAAGGAAGCAATGTACACCCTATAATCATAAGAGGATTTCAGACATTACCCTCAGAAGGTACAGAAACAACATCCCTGAAACCACTGGGAAGTAGGATCACCCATTACAGCAAGACTGCCCCCTTTGTTTCTAGAAACAGACCTGAGGATATGACGCAGTTTTCTAAAGTCCCACTTTTTGAATGGGCTGCCCTAGTAACAAAGTCTATTCTAATTGTAGTAGTGATATCATGGAGCAAAGAGGAGGGGATGTCCACAACCTAAAGAATGCCCACACGTTATACAGGTCTGTGGGGGCCTGAGACTAGAGCAGACTGGTGCATTGTCCATTGCCTCCAAGCTTTCCCTCAGGGATTCAGGCTATGGGATTTGAACTTGGATGTACAATGCCCTGGCCATTGCTCTTATCCTCTGAGCTATTCATGAACACTCTGCTTTACAAGTAGAAGCAATTAAAATACGTGATTTAAAAATGACAAAAGACAGACCCCAATCTCCATCACTTCCACCAACACCAAACACCTAGGAGATCCTAGTTTTAGTGCTATGGCTTTGGAATAATTCCATTTGGTGGGATGACTAAGAATATACAATATTAAATGGCACTGTGTGACTTGTAAGCCATTACAGAGGAGGGTATTTTTCTGATCTGGAAATTCTAAGAAAACCCAAATGTTGAGCATTTTCTACACGTTATAGCCCAGTGATAAAGTGACCTGTAGACATTTGATCCAGGCTCTTCTGAGGGGGAACAGCAACCTCAAGCCACACTGCATGGACAGTAGACTTTGTTAATGGTTGGTGTTACCGGTCTTCTGTTTCAGACATTCAAACACACAAAGATACAAATGTCTATCACCTGGTTTGCCGGGCCTAATGGACACTGGAATAAGAGTGGAACTTGTATCCTTGTGGAAAGTGAAACAAGGACTCTGGATGACAATAGATCCATGATTTTCTCTATTTTTCATTGCCCAGATCCAGCAACAGGTGTGCAGTGAGTGCAGCTCAGTTCTGAGAACTAACAAATGTGTCGCCTGTCATTTGGTTTCAGGTGATGGAGGGAATGATGTGAGCATGATCCAGGAAGCTGACTGTGGGGTTGGTGTGGAAGGAAAGGTGAGAACTTCCAGCAATTATTATTTTATAAACAGATGATCCAATAACTGTCATATCAATTAGGTGTGCATGCCTGTATTAGTCTACTACTGTATATCTGTACATATGTACAGTGTTGATCCTTACAAAATTTTCAGCATTTTAACCTAAACATCTGACCTCCATCTTGGGGGAAAAAAAACAGCATAAATAAATATCCAGTTTGATGAAGCTGCTCCTGTAGCATTCCAAATACTTTTTCCATTTTTATTCCTGAAAGACAATCTCCTCACAGACCGATAACTGTGAGTGTTCTAGTCATAGCGCTACCCACTGTAATTTAACCAATTGATTCCCAAACGTACTGCAAAGGCAGCCAGGCACACAGCAACAGTTCACTCTTGCCAATGACTCTGGATCTGGAAAGTGCGGTGTGCATCAATCTTAATTTAATTTCCAAGTCCTCCTCTATGGAGATTGGAAACACCATAATCATATGTTTAATCCCCAAAATGCTAATTAGCCTTGTATTTGAAGAGGACTTTGCAAAAAAAAAAAAAATGTTCTGCTTTCACTGTGCATGCAGCAGTGTGCCACCTCAATAAACTGACCACCATACCAGTGATGGAGGCTCCTGTCTTTTGGGACCCAACTGATAAACAATTAGAAACCCTCTCTTGGACCTGCACAATCCATGCCCAAACTTACCCACAAGCGTGGCAGTTAGTTTACCTGCAAGGTCTGGAGCTCAAAATTTGCCAAATCCTCAAACAAGCCGTCATCTACATGACCACCAAAGTGGGGGGAATATTTTTACACTTCTGCAGACACCATGAATCTCCAGTGCCTGGGTATGAGAGGTGTACAAGGCTATAAGCTATAGTTTTACACCTCCTTGGTTTCTTACCTTGAACTTTCCTGGGTCGTAAAACAGATTAGTAGATCTCTATTGAGCCTTTTCTGGTCTTCTGGATCAAGGTGTTATTGCCCTTGTTCCTGTGGTAGAACAGTTTCAGGGATTTTACTTCAACCTGCTCAGCAATGTATCCGCCCTATCTTAGATCTCAAAGCATTGAATGTCTATATTTGAGCTCAGAAATTCCACAAGGAATCTGCCAGGTCTGTCATTTGCCTCTCTCCACCAGGGAGACTTTCTGGCTTCTGTGGACATCAAGGGCATGTATCTGCATGCTTTCATTGCATCAACTTCTAATACTCTTTCCTGTGGACGGCCTACAGTACCAATTCATAGATTTGCCCTTTGGCCACACACTTGAACCTTGGGTATTTCATCAAGGTGCTGGCCCCAGTACTAGCCCTGCTGCACTTGTATGGCATACCCATTGTTGAATATTTAGACAACCTCCAGTTGAGTGCACATTATGTGCAGGCTTATCACTGTCTAGATATTACAGCTTGGTTGCTTCCTAAACCTTCAGAAATTGTCACTGGAACCGACTCATTGTTTGGAGTATCTTGGTCTAGTTCTGGGGACAGCTCAGGCCAGAGTGTTTCTTCCACAGGAGAAAGCTCATAGATTCAAGCTCTTTAGTGCAGTAGTTGACAGTCTCTCCACTTTTGCAATGAGAGTCAAGGGTCTGATGATAGCTTGCTTTGAGACAATCTTTGATTGCCCAGTTTCACTCTAGGTCTCCTGAAAGCAACATTCTATTATCATGAGACAAGTCAGCATAGTCCCTGCACAGGTAGATTCGTTTGCAAAACAGGACTAGGTTGTCCCTGGCTTGTTAGCTGAGGAATCCAGCACTGGAATTGGGGAAAATCCTTCTTTCCCATCTTTAGAAGATCTTCATGAGTGATGTCAGGCTGAAAAGGTGTCCATTGCACCCTATCAATTTAGGAAATTTTCTCCTGCTAAACATCCTGGAGCTTTAGGTGGTTTGGCTGTTTTTGCAACACATCACCATCCTGCTGGAGGGCCACCTGATCTGGATTCAATCAGACAATGACAACACCAACCATTAGGGAAAAACCAGATGTCTGCTTCTCAGGATCCAGATGAAGGGCATTCTGATGATTTTCATTGCCCCTCATCAGCCCAGGCAAATGTGGTACTCCGACAAGATAAGATTTGCAGTGGATCCTCTGTGGCCCTATCAGACTGTCCAGTTCTTCTGTTTCTAGGAATGACTTGCCTTTCTCCTTCACGACGGTTGGATATAAAGACATGACTGTTGAAGACCAGGTTCTGGGAGACAGGGGCATCTTTGAATCTGTGATTCCTACAATGTTAAAAACTACAGTCTACTTCTCGCAAGGTCTATTGTCAGATATAAAAAGCATAATTCACTCTGAGTGAGTCTCATAGCTTCCACTCTAGCAGTTTCTTTGTGACAATGCAGTCCTACCATCTGGACTATCGTTAGGCTCTTCGTACTAAAAAAGTGCTGAGAGGTGCAAAGGTTGGTAAAGTGCTAAGGTTTTTGTCCTGTGCTATTTTGTTTCAGAGACCATTGCTTTTTCGCTGCTTAAGACCTTTGTACAGGAATGCTCCCAAGTAGCTTCCTATGTTTGTTCCCCTTTGAGGGATTTGAATCTTTTTCTCTCTGTGCTTCAGAAACTGCAGTTTTAACCCATTAGAGACACTCCTCTCTCCCTCTACTTGCACTCATGATGTAGTACATCTTGCCATCACTTCTGCAAGGTGCATGTCTGTACTAGTGGCCTTATTCTGCAAGGAAACCTTTTTCCCTGGGTTTTTATGACACCCAAATCCATCTCTATACACCTCAGCTCACTTCATCAGTCTCCACATGCATCACTAATTTACTAACAGACCTATCAGACTGGATGTCACACCACTTTCTGAAACTCAATCTATTCAAAGCTGAGCTCGTAATATTTCCTCCACCATGCATCCCTTCCCCTGACTTCTCTGTCAAGAATGAAGGCTCAACTATCAACCCATCCCCGTATGCCAAGTTACTAAGTGCAATCCCGGGTTCTGAACTCACAGCCCCACATCCAATCAATGTCAAAAGTCATCCTCAACCTCCGCAACATCTCCAAAATAGGCCCCTTCCTAACCAATGACACCACAAAGCTCCTAGTCCACTCCCTATTCATCTCTCGCCTCAACTACTGCAACTCCTCCTTATTGGCTTACCATTACATAGGCTATCCCCCCTGCAGTCCATCATGAATGCTGCTGCCAGACTCATTCACCTTATCAACAGTTCAATATCTGCTACCCCTTCTGTTGATCCCCCCCCCCCCCATTGGCTTCTGCTCACCCAATAAATTAAATTCAAGATACTAACCGTAACTTACAAAGCCATCCACAACTTGGCCCCCAGCTACATCACTAACATGGTCTCAAAATGCCAACCAAATCATTCTATTCCCAAGACCTCCTGCTCTCTAGCTCCCTTGTCATCTTCTCCCATGCTCACCTCCAGGACTTCTCCCGAGCCTCTTTTATCCTCTGGAACTTCCTACTCTCCAATCTATCTGGCTATCTCCAACTCTGTCCACTTTTAGACGATCCCTGAAAACCCATCTTAAGAGACCTATCCTGCCCCCACCTATTAACTGTAAATCTATTTTCTCTATCGGCTCATCCCCCACACTTACTATATTACCTTTTTGTATTTCTTGACCCTCCCTCCTAGATTGTAAGCTCTAATGAGCAGGGCCCTCTGATTCCTACTGCATTAAAATGTATTGTAATTGTACTGTCTGCCCTTATGGTTGTAAAGCACTTTGTAAACTGTTGGCGCTATATAAATCCTGTATAATAATAATAATTATATAAAACAAAAGTATAAAAATGATACAGAATTTGACTTACTAAAACTTATTTTAGAGACGCCTGCTTCATGGTTAGGGTTAAACTTACTTGGTCATAACTCAGAACTCCTGTCTTGCTAACACGTTGGTGGCTGTGGTTGTTGGTGGCGCAGCATGTACAGAGTCTTCTGGTCCTGTCTGAGTCCGTGTGGTTTCTGTTGCAGGAAGGGAAGCAAGCATCCTTGGCTGCAGACTTCTCTGTCACTCAGTTTAAACACCTGGGCCGCCTCCTGATGGTACATGGAAGGAACAGTTACAAGAGATCAGCAGGCCTTAGCCAATTTGTCATCCACCGGAGTCTCTGTATAAGCACAATGCAGGTAAGAAATATAAAGCCTCTAGCTTTTCTAGCATTGATGCATATAAATGACTGTCTCTCACATTATAAGCACCACAGGTTTCACTTTGCTGGTGTTGTCTACTGATCTATAGGCTCCACAGGTGTCACTTGGCAAGTGTTGCTTCCCACTTTATAGGCTCCAATGGTTTTACTTGGCCAGTGATGTCTGATACATTATAGGCTCTACAGGTACCACTAGTACAGTGTTGTCTCCCATTTTATTGGCACAACAGGTGTCACTTGGCCGGTGTTGTATCCCACTCCGTAGGCTTTATAGATGTCACCTGGCCACTGTTTCCCACTTTATAGTCTCCAGAGGTCCCCTGAAGATTGAATGGTCCCAGCAGTATTTAGTGCACAGAAGTGTGGCAAGGCCCATGCTTTGATATAACATCTATTAAGTGGTGGAACAGAAATGTAATTAATACCATTAAAGTTAACACAAATCAAGGGCGGACTGACCATTTGGAAACTCGGGCACTGCCCGAGGGCCCAGGGTCAGTAGGGAGCCCCATGAGATGCCCCTGGTACCTTTTTCATAGGCTTTTTTGAGTTTGGGCAAGGACACAGGGGCCCCATGATCCCCTATTGCCCGGGGGCCCCATGAGTTGTCAGTCCGCCCCTGACACAACCCTAACTCAACACAAAGTATCATTTAAAGTATATCTAAAACCAAAACACTTAGTTTTTATTTCTTGATAGAGCAGAGATGGGTTAAACCCCCAAGCCATCTGCGTCCCATTGAGAAGATTTCCCTCTTTTAGACAGGTATGCAAGTAATCTCTTCAAAGTGAGAGAAAAATCCCTCTTAGTTGTCACTGCAACAAGTGTCCATACTGAAATATTTCCCTTCTATTTGAGTTCTACTCAGTAGTTACCAGGACAATTTGAGAGGGTTAATCAGCAATAAGAACCTGACAAGGTCGCTATTCCTTCCCTATGCTAACCAGCATTAGAAATCATTTTGTCTTTACATACAGCTTAATAGCTATCAACTATGCATTAAAGCTCTAAGGTAAATCTCATCCATCTCACAAGGGGGAAGTCAAAACATCTATTTCTTCGAACGACTTAGTACCCAACCTCGCTTCACATTTTGCCCCGTAGATGATGATATACTATCATTGAGAAATGCTGACAATTTTACCACCCTGAACATTTACCTTTAAGTGTTAGGTCATATTGATGACATATGCTTTTAAAAATGGTATTTGGCACAGCGTGGCCATGTAGAGCTAGAGACCAGCATCCACAAATAGTCAGTTTGTAAACAGAAGGAAACGGTACAATCGAGGTGGTGACAGGGGGGCGGTATGGTATGCGATGACTAATACAGTTTAATAGAAGGAAATTCTTATTTCAAACAATGTTCTGCAGAATAAACAAACAGTCGCTGATCTAGATGTGAGCACACCAGAAACTGCTCAGCTTTACGTAACTAAAGGGGGAACGCTCTGACCTTGGTGGTCCTCCAATAACAATCAATTTATGATATCACTTTGAGGCTGCACTGATCTCATGCATGGCAGTCTATTGCTGACCAATCTGAAAATGCAGATAAGAAGCTATTCACTGATACAAGATGGAATCCCATTTTTTTTTTTTTTTTTTTTTTTTAAGTCCGCAAATGTGCAAACTAGAACGAAAAACCCGTAAGTGATCACAAAAAAAGTGCAAGTGCGAACACCACACAAAAAAAGTGTGCACTTAGGGGTGTGCTTGTCCTACCCCCGAAGGGGTTGGACCGTTACCCTGATCCCCCGGGGCACGAAGCTCCTGACAGGGACAAGGTTCCCATTTGGTCCTCCTAGCCAAAAGTCCTGGTGGACCACCGTTCCTTATGTCCAGCCGAAGCCAGACATCCAGTACTAGGCCAGGGGGCTCTCCCGAAGAGAAAACCCCCTAGGGATCAGGGGAGGAAGGAACCAAAAGGCCACACATCCTCCCCCTAGACTTCAGGATAGGCCCGAGGACCCACACCCTCCATCCGTGAAAACACACACATAAGCGAAAGAAAAAGTGACAAACGTGGGAGGTGAAATAAATTAAATAAATAGAAAATAAAAAAGTGGTACCGTGCCAAATTGTGCACAGACCAGGCCCTGAGGCCCGTAGCAAAAATTGCCCTGGACTTAGCCAAAAGGCATGGTCCTTAGGGCGCTGTGCAAAAAGAGTGTAAAAACAGTGACCATGTGCCATCTTCACACTGTGGGGTCCCACACCCAGGTGTTACTAGTGGCACCCCTGAGAGCGTCTACTCAGGGGGCACTGAGTTTGCGGACTTTCTGCCTCCCCAGCTCCTGGCCAGACCAAGGTAGATCCGTCCAAATCAGGAGGTACTGGGTCTTTCCAGCTTTCCCAGAGGAATTACTCCCAAGGCCCCAGAACGAATCATGGCGCTCCCTGGTTTCTGTCCCTCCGGTACTAGCCTTCCGGACCCCCATCATACCAGTGAGGGTACTATACAACAGCCATCCCCGCAAAGCTAGAATGGCCGGGAGCACCCCCACTAATCCCATACTTACTGTGACAGTGCGGTGCCCTGTTATGGTGTTAAAAGGTAGTCTGCAATAGGTTTTGGAGACAACTATCACACTGATGGTGCAGGTGTGTGCTGGGTTCTTAGGGTAATCAGAACTAGGGTTCTGCGCTCCACCTTCTCGAAGAGTCCATGTGGTTTGCAAGGGAGCAGCCAGAGGCGTGCATATCTGCACCATGCAGTCTGAGACAGGACAGAGGGCAAAGCCGGAAGGCTGGAGTAGCAGGGAGCTGCAATTAAAAGTGAGCTGACGGAGGATCTTGTGCTAGATGGTCAGGAGGGCCAAGGCATGGCTTTTTTTCTGTTGTGTTTAATAAAAGAGTGCCAACAAGTCCTTAAAATGCATTTCTGGCGTGGATGGGGCTCTCTGGTGAATGCTACATTTGAGTTAAAGAAACCCCAAACATCACACTACACGGTGGCCCAAAGCAAACCTGTCATGGGATTGATATTTTTTACATTAAAATGATTTAGCATCATAAGCATGCATATATCTAATAGAAATTTGAAAGCCTAACATTTCCTTTTAAAAACAAACATACAAATTCCCCACCATCCTTCTAAGGCGTGGCACCCTGCCAGGGTCTAAATAGAGGTTATGACCTAGGATTTTCAGCCAGGCAGGTTGAGGGGCTCCAGGGAGCTTGTGTCATGGAGAGGAAACTGGCTTTTCAGTTTCCTCAGTTTTTTGTAAAGTTTGTTTTGGGACCTGGAGCCTGGATATTCCAGTGATCCAGCGGGGATGAAATCTCCAATCCCAGGTCCAGGTTTTGTGAACAGCCAGCATACTAATTGGTCAGGTGTGTGCTGGGCTTTATAGTAGTGACCCGACCATGGTTCTGCGCTCCACCCCAGCAGACAAAGGAGGTCACTGCCAGGAGTCAGAAGGGCTCCCCATGGAAGCCAAAGCAGCAAGTGGCTGCAAATTATGTGCACCAAGTTGTGTATGAAGAATATCTGTGGGAGGCAGGCAAAGAGCCTAAAGGACGAGTGTCAAACTGGCGGCCCTCCAGCTGTTGCCAAACTACAAGTCCCATGAGGCATTGCAAGATTGACAGTTACAAGCATGACTCCCAAAGGCAGTGGCATGATGAGACTTGTAGTTTCGCACAGCTGGAGGGCCACCAGTTTGACACCCCTGGCCTACAGGGTAAGGCTAGAACAGGAGTGCTGCATGTATACGCCGGGAGGCTGAAAGTATATTTTCTTTGGATGGAAATTCTGAAAACCCGTGAGGGAAACTCCTGGATTTTTTTTTTGGGGAGTTAGTTGAAATTTGTTTTATTAAAAATTGGGCAAGGAAAGCCCTTAAAAGTAATTTAAAGCTCTGCTAGTTCTCACAAAGGGCTAGAGAATGTCAGATTGAAGGGGATCCAGGCTTCAGGAAATTTTCTCTCGAATGAGTTGTTCTGACATTTTGCAAAAGTCTGCTTTAGTCTCTGGGTCAGCAGCCTGCAGTGCAGCCTATTGTAGGGATACTACCAATAAACTACATTTGGACTTGAGCATTTCTGTGGCATTCTCTCTCCTATCTATCTGAAAAGTCAACTAGAACTAGATCAAGCCACAGTCTCAAGGATAGAGGAGGCCTGAACAACCTCTGTGTGCAGGAACAGGCATTTGTTTGGATTGGAAAGTCTTAGCTAATCAGGACTGTTGCCCTTGAGATAAATAATTCCAGAACTGCTCTTCTATTGCCCTCACCTTTCTCCATCCACAAAAGCAGGAACATTTGGCCAAATTCAATATTTTTGCATCTGCAGCAGCCGCACATGATTGCTGAGTCCACCATGTAATGCATGTCACCAGAAATCTATGTGTGGCCTTGTCACAGAAACAGGACAATACATTGATTTAACATAAGTCCCTGTGTTGGCCTCAGGCAGAATGAATGCAAGTGTTATATCGGCGGAATGAATCGGCAGAGAAGACAAGTTCATCACTCTACAGCAGCCACTGCACAATACAGTTTATACTTTCACCCTATACTTCCTCTCATGAGAGAGTGTAGCATTCACTCAGCATTGTTCTGCTTTCCGCTAACAATGACCTTAGTTAATCTCTACAAACCCAATCTATACAAAATGTAACAATATAATGTATACTGTGTAGATTTGGTGTTAGATATGGGGGACAGATCTAAAGCTGAACTCTTGGCAGTGATACAAACCAGTACTACAGTGTATCTGTTAATACATCAATAAATGTATTTTTTAATACAAGCAGTGTAATTTTGAAAATGACCAGGTATTCGCCTCGTGCAGTCTCTGTACAGCAAACATTGGAACGAGGAAGGAAGAAGCAGCACAAGGAGCCAATCGGTTCACATGCTGATAAGAAACATTCTAATACAAGGAGAAAGAGTTGGAGATGAGCTCATCGCTGTGCTGCTTCTCTTTCACTGTTCAGTCACAGGCTGGGGGTGGGTCCATGACAGCCTGTGCTCAAGTGGGTTGAATGATGCTGGCTGCCACTCAACCTGGAAGATTGAGGACATCTAGTGGTGGAAAAGAAGTACTGAAGCAGACAACTCTGGATTGCAGGTGAGTAAGTATTCAAGCAAAATCTGCATTTATTTTTCTCTTTGAATGGGTTATTTTTTTTTTTTCCATAATAAATTTTTATTTGGTGTTACAAATATAGTTACAACAACAAAAAAACAAAAAATAGGACAGTGAAAAGCTACACAATATCACAGTATAGGTGCTGCGGTAGAGTTTAACAGACAAAAAAAGTAAATATTGAATAATTCCTAACAATCCTACTAGTTTCACGAAATAATCATTTTAGAGTATCCAAAAAAAGGTTAAACATAATAATATCTTAGGTTACAATTCTGAACCAGTGCGACCGGGGAGTCCAAGCTTTGTCAAATTTGGTAATTCTATCGTTTAGGTAAGCTAAAGATTTCTCATAGATGAAATGGGTCTGGACTCGCTCAATGACTTCTTTTAGAGAAGGGTCGGAGTCTTTTTTCCAGTGTCTAGTAATGGTAAGTCTTGATGCTAGAAGAATGTGTGTCACTAAGAGTCGTTAATGGATTGGATATGTATCTATATTTATATTCAAAATGGCTAGGGTAGCATCTGGTTGTTTTTAACATCCCAGTAATTTCCGATATCGTGTGGAAAACTTTATACCAATAGCTTCTAATATTTTTACATGTCCATAATATATGTAATAGAGTACCAATCTGACCGCAGTTTCTCCAGCATTGAGGACTATGTTGTTCTGAGAATTTAGCCATTTGGTAAGGAGTTAGATACCATCTTGTGGAGATTTAGTGCTTTTAGCTCCCAAAGGTTAACACATCTAGTAGCTGAAAACGAATGGGTTATTTATTTTTTTTCATCCAGTTTCTAAAAATATATTATTGATAAATTTAGGTGCATCCTTTAGAGTGTAAGTTCTTATGTGCAGGGCCCACCCAACCCTCCTGTCTTGAATTGTATTGCAATGGTACAGTCTCCCTTTATTTTGAAAATCACTGTGCAAACTGTTGGTGCCATATACTGTAAATCCTGTATAAAATTAAGAATGTCCTGATTCATTCTCTCTCTGCATTTTTTGTTTTTTTTGGCTTTTTTTTTTAGTGTTGATTGGACTGGGGAACAGTTGGAGCCCCGGCTGCTGTGTCCATTGACACAGACAGCGGGACTCGGCCCAATTTCCTGCTCCCTCGTCACTGGCTTTGATTGACAGCACTGGGAGCCAATGGCTCCCAGTGCCCCAGCAAAGCCAGCGAGACACGGAAGTGGGGGGCGAGAGAGAGAACTGCAGGCATGCATGAGGGCTCAGGTAAGTAAAAGGGGGTTGAGGGAGGATGCTGATGCCTAAACATTTGGGAATGGATTAAGGTAAAAAATGTTTAGGCTTTAGAACCACTTTAACACTCTCTCTTCTACATACAAAGGTGCTACTTGTAATGCCTCAAATATATCAATGCTGCAGTATATATATTGGTAGTATTAATAACAGTGGATGGCTATAGTGGTGAATAGTAGCAGTAGAGAATAATAACATGAAATATTGTCTATGTAACCGTGCTAGGGACATTAGGATGAAAGCTCTACTGCCTCATTGCATTCAGCGTTCTCAGTACAATAATGTGGAGTCTAACTGTAATGGGGATATTTAGAGTGTTCCTCTGGTGCTGAGACAGGTGACTGGTAAAATACCAAGGGGTATGTCAGATCAGAATGCATTGCACATAATGCTGATTATGTAACTCTTATCATTTCAGGCCGTATTCTCCTCTGTGTTTTACTTTGCCTCAGTTCCCCTCTACCAAGGATTCCTCATAATTGGGTGAGTACATTATTATCTGAACTTGACCGTTTTCAGATGAACTGTAAGATCATTCTAATCAATGTATTGCTAGGTGTTGCCAGCTGGATAGTCTGTCCTGTATAGCCATGTCACTAGTTTTTCTGACTGGAAAAATAACCGTCAAGGGAACGAAGTCCATTCACGACAGAGATATTGCTGAGGTGTATTATTTAGGTGTATTTAGGCCTACTAGCACATTATGGCAGACTCAACTTAAAACAAAGCCCCTTCATCCAGTCACCACTGACAGGGTTTCCATCTTCACCCAGTCTTGCAGGTTCGAGGGCTCTGGCCTTTTGAATGGCTGAGCCACGGAGACCGCACTTCTGCCCATGCCCACAGGAGCCACGGCTGTGGCACAGCGCTGTGAATTGATGGCATGCTCGTGCTGTCAATTCAGAGTGCAGTGCGCATGTGCCGTTGACGTCATTGGCTGCTTCCAGAGTGAATATCATTTAAACACTGCAGTTTAGGAGATATTCAAAGTACCTACAGGAAGACCTTATTATAGGCTTGCTTGTAGGTACAAATTCATAAGCAAAGTTTACTACCGCTTTAACACCCCTATGCTGCGCACATTCGTCCATGGGGGTTGAGGTTTCTGTATTAAGAGCGTGCTCCCAGCACAGTTGTCATAAACCGCTCCTGTTCTCTGTTTATGATTGGGAGCTGGTGGGGTGGGAAACCAATTTTGTGACCGCAGTGATCAAGTAGTCCATCTCGCCACCTGTCTACCGGGAGGAGACGGGGAGTGAATAAATACTTAAGTATTTACTCATCAGACTCAAACTTCCAGGGTATGTCTGCTAGTAATGGCTGTTGGCTAAAAAAAAATAAATTCTAGTCTGGGATGAATTGGGACACTGATTGGGAGCCAGGTCTTCTCATCCAAAATTAGTACTTGACCTCACAAATGGGCACAAATTCCCACATAGATCCAAAATCCAAAATTTTGTGGAAAGCGTTTGTAAGAAGAGTGAAGGGTATTATACTCATAAAGGGAGGCCAGCTCCATATTAATGCCCATGACTGTGGAGGAATGAGATGTCCAACAAGCTCATATAGGTGTGATAGTCAGGTGTCCAGAAACCTTTGGCCATAAAGCGTGCATAGTCCAAAGCCAGTGAAAATGCTGAATTAGAAACCATGCTAATTTATAAAATAACAGTTCATGTAAACCCAGATTGCAAAGTTCATTTACACCATTAGCCTTTCATGATTCTGGAGTGATGAGAAACATTCTCATCCTTCTTTTTGATAATGGTTGAACCTGTTTTTGGCAGCAATAACCTGGCTGGGAAGTGAATGGATTATGGCCGAGTTTTTTTTTTTTGGTGTAAAGAAAATTCTTTTTTTTATGTCCAGCATTTTAGTCGGGAAGGAGTTTGAAGGCCATAAAAGGATTAATTGCTTACTATTTTCATGTCTCTTTATTCCACCCTTCCTGACCGGCCTTGTACAGTATCACAGTTCGTGGCGAGGCCAGTCCACCCCTGCCTATTTCTTTCAAAGAGCGCAGGCCTTTGAATCCGCAGTCCCTAGGGACATTCGTGATGTAATCAGGATAAAGAATAGGCCTTTGCCTTAACCCTCCCCAGCTCACACCGCTATTGTGCTGTGGGATTTCTGTCAGGAAAAGCCACACATGTGAGTCACACAAGGCAAGAAAAGATTTAATATCTGCATTTTCTTTTAATCAGATTTTATCTTTATAATCAAGGTTTATGCATGATCGGAGTCATGAACCTGTGCCTGGCCCTTGTTCATGAACATGAGCTCAGTACAAAGTTTCTTCCTCATTTGGATTCATGTTATATTTTAATACAAAATTCACTCTGTGTGTGGATGTTTTGAATAATAAACCATGATGTCCAAAACTTCCAACTGGAAATGGAGATTTATTTATCGGTTGCTGACAATCGCTCAGCAATTTATTAAGCAGGATTCACTTCTTTCTGGAATTTATTCTTCCTTCCAAGGTGACTGTATTGCCTTGAAACTAAGTCCCTTTACTCTTTACAAGGTCCTTGGTCAGGAATTCTGTTAAAGGGTGACAACACTTTGTCCTTGTCTCTCAACTGTGCTCGAACAGTGTCACACAGTCTTCCAGTGGAGTCATGGCCCACTGTTGTCACCATCAGGAATCCCGCCCTAAAAAATGCTGGAATGCCTAAAACCAGTACTTCCTTCTCAACTATTGGGGGCACAGGAAGTCTTTCACCTTCGGGTTATACTGTTGCTGACAGCAGGACTGGACCCTGGTAAACAAAAAAAAAAAATGGATGGATATTTCACCTCTTCTGTGAAAAAGACTAGCCTCTACTTGTTAGCACCATTTTTCTTCAACATTTTTTCTACAGTCAAGACTGGGGTAGACGTTGCAGGGCTAGCCTCGAAGAGATTTTCGGTGACTGGGTTCTAGGTAGGTGCTTTCAAAACTCCATTTTAGTAAAAGGTACCTGCAGAGCATTTTCAAGGTTCAGAGCCACTGGCATTCCCTCTGCACTTGCCCTGTCTTTGAAGGCTCACTTGGAGAAGGGGTCAGTCAGGCAGAGCATAACCCAAGCACAAAGGTTGCTGGACACCTTTTCATTTCTATGTTCCTTGCCATTTTTTTTTTTAACTGCGAAATGGCTTAATGCTGTGGAATTGAATGCTGACATCATCCACTTAATGAATTGTTGCACGCTCTCTCCCCCCAACATATAGTGTTGAGGAAGCATCTCCACACTACTGATGCTGCTTTGCAAAGAGCCTTTATAGAAATTTAAGTTCCTAATTCTTTAACTTTTAAGAAATTATATTTACTGCAGAGGCAACAACAGTTTCCGTGCCTTCCCTTGCACATTGCCCTGTATCTTATCTGCCCATGGCCTCTGACCTGTTTGAAAAGGATTTTGTTAAAAAGTGGTCTACCCCCACTGTGGACCAGGCATTGGGGAGCAGACACTTGCCTCACCTCTGCAAAACAAGTTTCTGAACTGGCTGCCTTAACCTGCAAGAACCTTTTCTGGTTTTGCATAGGGACAAGGTGGTGTTGTGGCCCAGGCCTACCTTCTTATCTAGGATAGTTTTTGCATTTCACTTCAATATGGATATCTTTCTCCATTCTTTCTGGCTCCAGTAAACGAAGAAAAAAAAAATCCTTCCACTGGATGTGAATAGAGCTGTGAGAGTCTATATTTTAGCCACGTTCCGAAAGACTGATTTCCTATTTTGTCTTCCAGAATGGTCTACTAGATTGGTGAATTGCTTCTTGGTTTTTATGGCATGGCGCAAGAACTTAATAGTAATTTTGTAATCTCTATTATGACCTTCTGCATGTATCTCTGAAATTGAGGCCTCTTTCCCAACATATATATATTGAGGCACTGTCTATGTGCAGAACCCTTCATAACCATCTTCACTGAAGTGTCTATATTAAGACTTTCCATCAAGGTATGGGAGTGCTCGGTCAGCAGATAGGCAATTTCTAAATTGGGTTCATCATAAAGGAAGCTGGGGGAGTATAGCATTACATTGATACAAATCATTGTTTACCATATAAACAACTATGTAACGTTTCTCTATGTTATATAAATGTGTGTCTCCTTTACGAATGTGCCGAGATCCAATGTTGTCTACAAGCATCTTTCACTGTACCACGCCATTCCATCACGGTACGAATTAATCAAGACAGCTGACAACATCACCTTGGCTAAGCTAATTCTTTGAAATTCCTCAAGCTGTCTTGAATTGACACTAGCAGTATTCATTGTAAAATATTTTCTTAGGAGTCCATTGATTGGACACTAGTTCTAATTTTGGGCGTTTATGATCATGCTCTCGGAAAGGTTTTGCTACAGAGCTGAGGGATGCTGGTAGTAGAAGGGGTTACCCTGGGCTGGCAGTTATTTTTTTTTTTTTTTTGCCATTGTCCAGTCCACCTGTAGGCAGCAGTATAACTCTGAGATGAAAGAGTGCCTCTCTCTCGTGACCCTCAAAGAACACTAAATAATGTGAAGTACAAAAAAATATCAATTGTTTGTGATACGCTGTGCTGTAAAAATGCAATTTCATGCAGTTCGGGTTTACATCTACTTTAACTATTACCAATAAAATACAGATACATAAAATAGTTTTGAAAGTAATTATTCCATTGTGCAGCTGGCTGATCAAACCGGACAGCTTGAAATACCATTTGTATCCAATAAAGCTGGTCTGCTTTTGCTTAATCAAAATTATACAGACAGCAGATCTGTGTACAATGAACTCCAACTCTTGCCAATGTTGGATGACATAACATGTACGAGTGAACTGGAAGAGGAGGGGAAGCATAGTGTTGGTGTACAGAAACCCATGGTAACCAGAATACAGCAGTTCAAAACAGATCAATGAAAGCTCATTCCTGATTGCTTTCTCTAGGTCAGAGTGTGCCACTGCTGTAAGCATCATGCCGCTACATGCGTTTACCTGAACATATAAGATGTTCCTAGGTCATCAGACAATTTAATATAACTAGAGATTGTAAGTGCTAACGAGCCAGGCCCTCTGTTTCCACTTGTACCAAATTGTATTGTAACTGTAATGTCTGCCTTCATTTTGTAAAGAGCTGAGCAAACTGTTGGCGCTATATATTATTATTATACAGGATTTATGGCGCCAACAGTTTGCTCAGCACTTTACAATATAACGGGAGACAATACAGCAACAATACAGTTCAATACAAGAGGGTTAGGGGGGCCCTGATCCTTGGAGCTTACACTATATAAACCCTGTATTATAATTATAATAATAATAATACTAGAAAAGCTACAATTTGTGGGGAAATTGAAGTGTTCTTGCCTCCACCAGTAGTCTACAACTGGAGTGGGCAGAGTAACTGGGTGGAGTGGCTGGAGTAACTGTAAAAAGGTCAATGGGTGGCGTGAGTTGCAAACAAATGGTCATATTGTGAAAACTATCAGGACTATGGCTTAGCCGTGGACATTTTTCATGGCAGCAGGGATAGCTGAACCTTTTGATATAAGATTTGTGTAGGTGGGCTTGAAAATGAGGGAGTGATGGCAGTTTAGAAATCATGTCCTGATTTTTCAGCTCACACTCTAGCTTTTGTCAGCTCCCCACTCTAGTTTTGAACATTCCGCCATTCATTCCTATGGGACCAATTTCACCACAAAAACGTCGATATTTCGTGAACCATTCGGCCAAACGTTCCACAAAGTAATAGCACACCAATCGGGAACAATCCGCACGTTTCGGTATATTACTGTCTATGTAGTGTAAAATCTGAGGGAGGAGTTAGGGTGGCTATAATAATAAGAATATATATGTGAGATAAGAGGAAGTGGCCTTGCCATGCAAGAACACTTAATAATAATAATAATAATAATATAATAATAATGTGCGGTTCGTTTAGTTTAGAATCAAAATTTGGACATTTTCTTCACTCGGAAAATTCAGATGTATCTGAATTTCTGAATTACAATAGTAACAATCTAAACCAATTCAAAATAATGAAATTAAATTCAAATCGAATTGAATTAAAAAAACAAAACTGAAGTTGAAAACAAATTTGAAATATAAA